AAGCCATAGACTTTATTGTTTAGTTCATTATGGGGATATACATTTAATTTAAATTCCTAATAGAAAGACATTTGATGACAGTATGTTGGAATTCTGTATTCATTTTTCAGCTTGATAATAGACAGGTAGAAGCCGTATTGCCAGGTGCAATTGATGGGATTTCTGCACACGATCCAAGCAGAGAATGACGTACCTTACAGGACAGATACACTCAGGAAATCATTCACTCTGACAGCATCATGACTTTAGTTTGTTTTTGAATCCATAATGAAATTGTATTACAATAACGTTAGTGTGTGTCTTTACCACAAACAGGAATAGTTCATTGTTATATTTAGATTTGAGAAAGATTACAAGGATTTTTATTTAGTTCACCATGAAGATGTTTTTTGTTTGTAACATATGCCCAGTAGTAAGATTCAAATATCAACAGGTTCTGATTATTATTCCTCTGTCCCACAACCAACAAGAATGTGGATGGGGAGAACTATATCTACTAGAACCAGCAGAGATTCATACATTACACCAGAAACACAGTAAAAGTAAATAAAAGAGTCATATTTAGCTTATTTTCAGATAGTTTAAATCCTTCTTATACTTTGTAAAAGAACAACTGCCTTTAACACCAGATACAGTAAGAAGATGATTTATGATGTGAAAGGAGGGAGTTAGACGTTTTCCATACCAAGCTAATTGCTGCTATTTTACAAAGTGAAATTAAGGTTTAAGCTAGAAGTTATGCACAAATGAAAAACTTCATATTTATGATGAATATGTATTCTTATTTGTATTTTTTTACTTTACTTTATGAGTTATGAGTTATGTACCATGCAATGTTCGGATGAAGAACTAATTGATTTCAATATTATTTACATACCTTAAAGGGTATGTAAGGAGGGATTGTTAGAAATTAAAATCAATGTTGATATGGCGTAATTTGAATTAAATACACTATTTAATTTAAATCAGTTTTATTCTGAAAAACCGGAAGTTCACTAACTATTAACTTAATACTTTTATTCTGAAAATTATTCACTTCCGGTTATCATTAGCATGTGGCGAAATGCTGCATTTTCAAACCGTGAATCAAAGGTGAAATGACATGTGATATTGTACACTGAGCACACTGGGTTTAGCACTCATTTATTACCGCTGAATAACGTTTATTAGGGAATGTTTAAATAACCACAGACACCAAATGATATAATTTAACAAAAAAAGGCAGAATTGCATTGGACCCGCCCCCGACGACGCCGGCCAATAGGAGAAGACCTCAGATGACAACAGGAAGAACAAGCCAAGAATTGACCTCTTCTACCTGCTGACCTGGACTGACCGGTCGGATGAGGAGAGCGCCTCCAATCGCACATTTCATTTTGTACACCACCGCATCTTTTGTGTAATTAAATGCTGTTAACTTTTATAAGTTTCCCTTGACTCTTTTCAGTCTCTCCTCCTGCCTTCAGGGTTCTAGAATACACTAACACTCTGCATCAGTGAGAAAACCCTCTCAACATTTGCATTGTGAGAGGAAAGTGCAAAGACAAACTGTGCAATCTTCAGTAGTTCTGAGTAACATGCAATGCTTTTGGCCTTCTCAAAATATTTGGTCCACTTCTGGTGCACCTGCAGGCCACTGAACTCCTCATCACGGTTGCACCTTTCTGTGAATCTCTTCAGATTGGTGACCTGGTCAAAACACTTGACATCATCAATGACCACCCCCTTCTCTCCTAGGACCTTGATGCAGGCCTCCACATCATTCCACTCTGGTGGCTCACTCAGATCCATCCACGTGAATGTGGAGAACTCTTCCATGGGAGTCATCCACTTCTCCAGATACTCCAGACATGTACTGTACAGGCCTTGCACATCAGCACAGAACTGGTCATATTCCTTACCAAGTCCATCACTACGCTTTTGTGCCAGTAGTCCCTTAACTTTAAGGGACATGAAGTTGTTGCTCTTGCGTTCAAGAAGAATGGTGTGGATGCTGTTCATTATTTTTTTACCTCCATAATGGAGTTCTTCTCCTTTTCCATGTCTTGAATGTGGGTGTGGAACGCAGACATGAGTGAGTGCATGTGCCAGAGGTAGATCTCGCTGAATTCGTTTTCCTCTTCTCCCTGTACACAAACTCACTCGGATCAGTCATTAGCCCGCATGGTTTTTCATACCACTGCTACGCTGACGACACCCAATTAATTCTGTCCTTTCCCCGCTCAGAGACCCAGGTCGTCGCACGCATCTCTGCTTGTCTAGCTGACATCTCTCAGTGGATGTCTGCTCATCACCTCAAGCTCAACCTTGACAAGACTGAGCTGCTCTTCCTTCCGGGAAAAGATTGTCCCACTCTTGACCTAACAATCAACATCGGCACCTCAGTTGTTTCCCCGACTCAGACTGCAAGGAATCTGGGTGTGACCCTAGATAACAACCTGTCCTTCACTGCAATATAGCTGCCACAACCCGTTGCTGCAGATACACGCTTTACAACATCAGGAGGATACGTCCCCAGCTGACACAGAAAGCGACGCAGGTTCTGGTCCAGGCTCTCGTCATCTCACGCCTAGACTACTGCAACTCCCTCCTGGCTGGTCTACCTGCATGTGCAATCCGACCTCTGCAGCTCATCCAGAATGCAGCGGCTCGTCTGGTCTTCAACCTTCCTAAATTTTCCCACACCACTTCCGCTCCTCCGCTCCCTTCACTGGCTTCCGGTAACTGCTAGAATCCACTTCAAGACACTGGTACTTGCTTACCATGCTGCGGAATGGATCTGGCCCTTCGTACATCCAGGACATGGTTAAAAACCGTACACCCCAGTGCGTGCACTACGCCTCTGCATCAGCCAAACGACTCGCTGCGCCCTTGCTGCGAGGGGGACCCCAAGTTCCCATCGGCAAAAACACGTGGGTTTGCTATCCTGGCTCCAAGATGGTGGAATGAGCTCCCCATTGACATCAGGACAGCAGATAGCTTGCACATCTTTCCGGCGCAAACTGAAAACTCATCTCTTTCGACTCCACTTCGAGCGATATAACTATTAACAAAGCACTTATATACTAATAAAGGACTGGCTTATCTAAAGCCAGTTGAGTAGCACTTGAAATGTTTTGGCTCTATGAAATCTGATGTACTTATATGATTCTGTTTTCTTCAAGGTTGTGTCTTCCTAGTCCGAATGTACTTATTGTAAGTCGCTTTGGATAAAAGCGTCAGCTAAATGCAATGTAATGTAATGTAATGTTTTCAAAAAACTTCTTGATCACTATGGGGTGGTTTTTGCTGAGACAGAAAGAATGCCTTTAAGGCTGTAAACATCTGTATCATCCTCTCAATGCCTGGGAACAATGACGCCACCTTGTCTTGCTGTGAGAAAGCATCCTTCTGTATTAAATGTCAACACAATCACAGTACTCCTTCAGGCTCTCAGTGCGCACAGTGTAAATGTGGAAGTACTGGTAGATTTTGAACATGATATTCTCAAGGTCAATATCTATTGTGTCCTGCCCCATGATGAACACAATTATTCAATATTTGTGTTGGGCAAACCCACAACCCGATCAGAGTGTTCTTCTGCAGCAACCTCTTCAAAATGTAACAAACACATTCTTTCCCCTTCATCACGTCGGATTCCTCCAAAAGTTTGTGTTGCAATTGTCGCCAGTAATTGCAATGCATTTTTCAGACAAATTGTTTTTTGCCAATGTTTTCAATGAGATATTGTGCAATGGTTTCTTCTGCGGTCTCATTTGGTGTGTCTTTAACCTCGATTAATTTTGTTGCATGCCACCCCTCTTCCAGTCAAGTACTGGAATTATGATTGGGAATATTTTTCACTGCTCCGTGGTTACCTCCCGTCTGTAGAAACACCACAGTACTGGATTTCTTTGAGTGCTTCATGTGCGACATCAATCGAGTGGGGCGCTATAACACCATTGACAATGGCTTCGGTTTTAGTTGCGCGCACTACTGAATTTGTTTGGCAGTGTCAGAGTCCTGGAAATGCTTTTTTTAGCAAGGCACTTGTGCAAATCCATAGATCTGTAGCTGTTGTGATGTTTTCACAAGTGTGAAATGCAAACGCACCCTCCGCTGCATTACAGCATCCTCTGTTTTGCCTGGTCTAACAAAGAAGTCTGTCAACTTTGCTGACAAACTCTCACCTTGCACAGCTTTCCTATGTTTGTCTGTGTCCATGTGCGCTTTAAGATCGCCTGCACCTTTATTGGACACACACACGTATGTGCAAGCTTTGCACACGGTGCACTCTGCCTCCCATTTGTTCCGACCGGGTCGGTACATTTGGAATTTCTTCTGCAATTCATCTGTAAAAGTACATTTGCGCTTTGGCATTGTGAATGTGAGCTGCGGTCCGCTCTGTCCCCTTCCTCTGTTTGTGTGTCAGCGTAGTTGTAGAGCCGCCCACAAAGCTTCAGACTCAGGGATTACGTCACACACGCAACAGAGTACCGTAGTATTCTGTGCAACGCGCCAGTCAATTTAAGTGCATGCAAACGGTCCGCGAAACCCGGACATTTTCATGAATTTATAAACCCCCCCCGGACGACCCGGACAGGGCGTGAAAAGAGGACATGTCCGGGCAAAATAGGACGTTTGGTCACCCTAGCATACTGCCTTGGCTGCAACAAGTCCTCCAACTAATACGACCAAATAGGTCGATTGTTTTCCGACCCAAATACGACCCATAGCCACGTTTTAAAGTGTAGCACCTCTAGTGGTCGTGTAAGAAACAACATGCTCCCGTCTATTCATTTCTATTAGCAACTCCTGGCGGATCGTAATCCCGTGAACTTTAACCTTGCGCATCAATAAAAGTGCGACGAGTGAAGAAGAAGAAGAAGAAGAAAAGAAGAAGAAAAGAAGAAGAAGAAAGAAAGAAGAAGAAGAAGAAAGAAGAAGAAGAAAGAAGAAAAGAAGAAAGAAGAAAGAAGAAAAAAAAAAAAGAAGAAGGAAGAAGAAGACGGGAACCGTAATGGTAAAATGCTAACTCACCGGGGTTTTTTGGACTCGTCACTGCATCACTGACAACATCCATTTATTTCCTACAGACAAGCTAATAAAGGTGAGTAGTCGGATTTATTTTGTCGTCTAGTACAGTGACTAAGATTACTATGTTTACCTAGGAATAATGATAGCAAAGCTAAATTAGCCAAAAGTAGAATCAGCTAACGTTAATGTGAGCATGGAAGTTATGTGATCCATCGGTTCATGCGGTTTATCCAAATGTTATCACACGTCACATTCTTTATAACTATATTAAATACTATTTATGTATTAAGTGAAGAGTCATCAGGGGTATAATGCTGCCGGAACACCGCTCCGGCACCTAAAACGGGGATGGTTGTTAGCATCTGGTGCTAGCTAGCTATGATAACGGATAGGCTGAGAGGCTAATGTAGGTAATGTAATGTTTACACAGTTAACTTTAGTCTAAGTTATCTCAGTGGGTCTGAAACAGTTTGGTCACCATATATGGAAACACATATTTCCAAGGCACACTTTTATATTATTGTATTATGTTCCACAATAGGAGTCGGAAACAGGCCTCAAGTTCTTAGGTTCAATAGCTCCATTGGTAGCATACAAATACAGGTTCATAGGTCACAGGTTGTATGTCGCAGGTTCAACGTCACGCAGCACCCTAAAGAAAATCGAATGAATGTAAAACATCGATGAAATCATTACAATTCATGCTATTGGACATACAACAAATACATATATAATACTTTTTTTTTTTAAAGAGTAAATAGTTACATATGCACAAAGATAAATTAAAAAAAGTATTATTCTTATCTTTTTTTAATTATTGAAATGTATACAGTTAAGTTTCATATGGGTGTTGACAGATGTATCCATAGATTTAGTTAATTTTGCCCTCAAAGTGCACAAGATTGATGCATTTAATTTCCCGGGGGCCTCCGGACCCCCCTAGAGGACGTGAGATCCACCCCCACTTAAAACATATTCACATGGATAGGATACTAAATAAATGTGCACACTTTTTATATAGTAACCTTTGTACCTCAGCAGGAGGGAGTTAGTTAAGTGATCAGTGAAGGAACTTTATAAACTATCAAGCAGCTGTGTCCAGCATTTACTGTAAGAATCCACATTTATTCAATAATGCAGACTTAATAAACAACCATTCTTTGTTGATTCTGGCTGGAGTGTTAATTGACAGTAGTTACATAAGCTTCAAAACGAGCCACAACTGCGCGTGCACGCATGCGGAACTTATAGAGTTAGCAATACACCCCTGGTAATGATGATTTTAGTATTAGTTCTGTGATGATGGAGCATCAACTTTTGGATCAACCAGATATTGACAGATTAGGGTTGTCGATAACAGTCTGTGACTGAATAACCATTTTTTTCCCTTACTCTTGTGATTTTTGTTCATCCTATCTAAAAGATAAAAAAACACGAGTTCATTGTTTTAACAAGATTTTTCACGATATAATAAAATACATGAATCCTGTAAACATTTGTAGTATAGTATTCTTATTTGTTTTATTCCCTTATCTGTGTTTCTGTTACAGATGCCTACTCAAAAAGTGTGCCAGACTTGCAAACACAAAATAGGAGTAGCCAGCAGGAAATGCAGGCAATGTGGTGCCAACCAACCCTACAAGGAGAAACTATCCAAGCAAAAGGAAAAGGTTGCACAGGAGTGGAAGGCCACGCAACAAAAAAACCACAGTGTCAACAAAGTTTATGACTCAACAAATCTACTGGTACATTTTTTTTTCTTGCAGATGTCAGTTGGCAAACACAGAATTATGTGACTATGGTTTCCAAAAGTAAAATAAATGAAATATCATACACATTTTGAATAAATGGTAAAACCAAGAATGTCACAGAATCAAATGTAAAGATCTAAATAATAAATTAAAAATAAATAAATATACAAAATGTTTGGGCTGAATATAGATATATTAACATTGGCTCAACTCTGCCCAAAACCAGCCAATATTAATATAGTGCTTGAAAGACAATCAAGTCCTGGAAAGAGTTTGTATTAATAAAGAGGCCCTTAAAAGCACTTTAATTTAGCTTACCAGAGTCTCTGACTTTGAGCCGTGTTCATCTGAAGTGCTTTAGTCATCAATATTTTGAGTTAATGCAGAACTTTGAACCTGAAATGACATAGGTTATAGCTTGCTGACATATTTCAAAGCTAAATGTAGCTTATTCAGATATCTGAATGTGAGAGTTAAATAGACCCATATAAAAATAACCATGCCCATGTAAACAAAACTCAAAAAGTGAACCTGAGCTTTTTTTCATGGTGTTTTTTGGGGCTCCCCTAAAATGGGTCTAAAATCACACCTGGTTAATGGTGGGGTGCCTTC